AAGGGGGGTCTTGAATTTTTTTTGGCGAGCGTGTGAGCCGCCCCAGACGCACTCCTAGGGAGAATGCATCGAGATTTGTATGCGAGTTAGACCCCCCCCCAACCACACTGCTAATTGAATACCTGTATTACCACGCCGCACTAGCCTTGTTCTGTTATTTTGGTGACAGAATTTGAATTATGTCCTCTCTACCTCCTCTCACATACTAGCACCATAAACTGATACTGCACCTACAGTAACTGCACAAACATATACGTTTTCCAGTTTGCAACCACACTTTGGAACTGGATTCGAAGTACATTTCGACGCGGTCTCGTCGGTAGGCTGTCGCCAACCGTTCCATCTTGCAGAAGTTCGGGACCTCCTCGCGGTAAGGCAATTAGATAGGTTTCCGGTCGAAGCGAAGCTGCCAAAGTAGCGGTGATGAGAATTGTTGCAACCTGAAATAAAACGCCCGCACGATCCACTCAGGCATACCACGTTGACTAAATCAATACCACAGAATTTCAGATACAATAGATAATGGATCAGGAATAAATGATTATAAATTCAGCCCTCATTTGAGTGTACATGCATTTAGCGTATTGATTATTTACTCATAAAATTCGTTTGTAAAAATCCGACGCAGGCTCTTTTCGTCGCCTTGTTAAGCGAGGAATTGGAACATTGTGTACTTACACTTCGTGATTGCCGAAAGTTAATAACCTGGACAATTAATAATAGTTTATGGCAGAACGGTGACATGCAAACACAGAGATGTAGATCAAGTAACCTTGAAACGTGCATTACGATGTAAAGGATGGAGAAGGATAATTAAACAAATCTTCATCTATAAGTCTGGGCTCCAACTCACAAGGAAATGACGCAATCGCACGGACTGCACTAAAGCTAGACCTTCTCTCTCGACCCTTGACAGAGCGCGTGAACGCGTTGACCATAATAAAGACACTGACGGAATTACCAATAGAGGTTGGGGCCGTGTCGAGAGAGACACAAGGATTTCGTGCATCAGACTACGAATTATAATATCCATTTAACTTACATGCGTCACCACGTCGCGCCAATTTCGTCGCCGGAATTAATCGTTCCGGAATAAAGTCGGTTAGCGGTTTGTAAATTATAAGCACAACGACTTTCCGCCATGAATATCTTGAATCTGCCGTCTAGCATGCTACCCAGCCGTCATCTACTCCTGTCATTGAAATGTCACGTCAGCGGTAAATGAATGCTCTTATATACGGTGACCAATATTCGCCAAATCCCGCCGTAACAGCGACAAACCAGTGCCAGCCCCTACCATGCCTGCATGACACTGTATGTAACAGCCCTACCATATCCTCGCCTGCATGAATACTGTATGTCAAGCATGCCTTACCGATACCTGCAATGAAGTACTGTATGTAATAGTAGCCCACAAACCCTGCGTGTATACTGTATGTGGTTCAGCGGACTCTTGTTCAACGGATCGTCCCAGTGATCGGAAAGTAGTAAAGTGGAGGTAGAAGCGTGCACCAGCGGAGATGCAGAAACTCGGAAAACTCTTCTAAACCTTCCCGTGTAGGTAAATAAGCAGCAGAGGTCGACAAGTCAGAATGTCGTCAGCCAGGTCTCATAACCCTCCGAGGTAGCACGTATGACATAACCCAGCGCAACTCTTCAGCTGAATGTGAAGACAGAACAGAAGCGTCACGGAGGGGCACGGCAGTATGTCCGACAGCAAAGGCAGTCGTCGCTGCCATGTTGAGCGCCTTCGTCGATAATTGCTGGGGTAGGTTTATCGAGAGAATATACCTCCCAATATTGTACGCAGCTGAAGTTAGTTCTTGCATGTTGAAGAGGCGAGCGCGGCAGTGCAGGGCGTGGGGGCAAGGCGAGGGTTTAGGCGAGGGTGAGGCATAGGGTGGCGGACAAGGTTAAGGGCAGTTGAGGCAAGTGGTAAGGGCAAGGTATGTTTTTGATAAGGTAGGGTGGATGGGACAAGGCGTGGTGGCAAAGGATAGAATTAGGCGTGGAGATGATGGACCAAGCGTGGACTAAGGGTCGATAACTGGTTGAGCTAAAGCGATGGGGCCGGGTAGGGAAGGTGGGACACTCATGATGATGTTATATGTATGAGTTAACATCGTACCTCTTAGTGTGTAGACTCTGTCCTGGAGCCGTGATCATGTAGAACGCCAAATTCGCATGCCCGTTGTAATATTGTCCGGTGATAGAATGGTGCGTTAGATCCCGCTTAGTCACTCAAAGGCCACCAAGTACCCTGTCCTCCACATGCTCGACACTCACCCCGAACTACTGTAACGGATAGAATGAACACAGAAAACATGCACCGTGAGAGATGAACGTGAAAAGGATTACAAGTGGATATGATTAGATGGATAGTATCGTTAGGATATGTAGTTCGACAGGATAGGATTTAGGATTTAGTTAAATAACCTCCGGTGAGGTCGGAATTTTTTTCCATTAGTTTCCCGCCACAAGGAGTTCCGACCCACCACAGATGAGGTGGGTTTAATGTAAATAAATATGGTGACGTATAAATAGAGACAAAAACCGGGAAATTGAGATATATTTTAGTGTGTAGGGTTCGGGTTCTGGTTAGTGGTGTTAGTGGTTATGGAGCGTTATGGGTGTATAAATTTTACATTGGGAAAGCTAAAATATCGAGGAACGTCCGAGGGTGAATGGGAGATGCGTCTGATTGGCTGTGGGTCCCGAGAGCTCACAGTGGAAGAAACAAAAAATTTCGCCCACCGGGAGTCGCTAGCGTATCTTAGTCGTTGAGGGTGTATCGTATACTTTCAATCGTTTACTTTATATCAGAAAAGCCCTCTGGGTCTCCTAATGCAAATAAAATTTAGACAGTTAATTGTGCATGAGTTTGCCGCCACTCATTCTACCATAGCGGCGCTATCGTTTTAGGGTGTATTTATTTTATATTATCTTACGTACGCATCAATCTTTGCTACGAATTAACAACTGGGGTTAGGCCCATTGGCGCCTTTAACGAAGGGTAAACGAAACGACGTGGAGAAGGCGTGATGAAGGTGACCTTAGATGAAGCAGGCGTGATAAACGGGTGATAGTAACTAACACCAAAGCACGTGAATGAGCAAAGCATCGGCAGTTTTTATGTCTAAGGTTCACTAGTGTAAACATATATTACCCGTACAGAGACTAACGAATTTTAGCGCGGGTCAGACGCGCCGTCCTTAGAGTCGCGGTAGGATATAGACACCCTGGTTACACTACTGACTTTATGTTGGCGAATCTGGCGAGTTTGGTGAAAATAGATCATGTTCTAATCTCCCCAAACTTAGGTGCTTCGACCTGGTTGGTCGCGCACTTTTGCGTTTACAACTGCCGATTGTCGGTTGTATAGTTGGGCAAGTTAGCCCAATTCGCCAATTGCGCCACAACAAAGTCAGTACTTAGCGTAAAACAAGTATAATGCCGGTCGTGTAGCAACGGGCGGCGTGGCTGCCCCACTGTGGCGCATGCGCAGTAGGATACGGCTGCCGTCCATCGCGCCTGAAAAGCGCGCTCAGCTCGACCTGCGATGTCAGCCGTGAAACTTTGACGATCAATGAGGTTGTTAGTAGCTGACGTAAGTGTTACCTCGCGCTGCCCTGCGCTGCTGCTGCTGGCTAGCTGCTGTCGTCAGCCAAATCGGCTGGCCGCATCTCCGCTGTGGCCCGCACATATCTGCGGGCGAGCTGTGTAGCTCAGCTCGTCGGTACGGCTCCTCAGTTATGTGCACGTTTAGTCCATATCCCTCCTCCGTAACTGACGTCATCAAAACTATAGCGTGGGAGAATAAAGATGACGTCATCAACCCGAAGTATAGGAATGTGACGATGAACGTCAACAAACGCGCGGTAAGAAATGTGACGATGGCCGTCATCAAAAACTGCGTGATGGAACGTGATCATGAAGTCATCAAACTACGCGGTGGAGCATAGCGATGACGTCATCACAATAGCGATAGTATCGCGCGGTTATTAGCATATGTAACTGGTGGCGCGCGTGAGCGAGTGTGCGTACGTGACCCGTGAGTGTGCGTACGTGACCGTGAGTGTGCGTACGTGTATCGGTGATGTGCGGTACGTGAACCGTGAGTGTGCGTACGTGACCGTGAGTTGTGCGTGCGTGACCGTGAGTGTGCGGCGTGAACGCGTCGAGTGGTGCGTATCCGGACCGTGAGTGTGCAGGTAAGTGACGTGAGTGTGCGTACGTGAAACCGTGAGTGATGCGTACCGTGACGGTGAGCGTGCGTACGTGACGTGAGTGGCGTGCGTGACGCGTTGAGTGTGCGTACGGTGACCGTGAGTGTGCGTACGTGACCGTTGAGTGTGCGTACGTGACCGTGAGTGTGCGTAGCGTGACCGTGAGCGTGCCGATAACGTGACCGGTGGACGTGCGTACGTGACCGTGAGTGTGCGTAGTGACCGTGGAGTGTGCGTACGTGACCGCGAGTGTGCGCTGCGTGCCGCGAGTTGTGCGTGCGTGACCGTGAGCTGTGCGTGCGTGACTGTAAAGCGTGCGTACGTAGACCGTGAGGTGCCGTACGTGACAGCGAGTGTGGTAACGTGATCGTGAGTGTCGCGGTGACTGAACCGTGAGTGCGTATGTGAACGCGCCCGCGTGAGTGTGCGTACGTGACCGTGAGTGGCGTGGCGTGACCGTGAGCGTCGCGTACGTTGACCGTGAGTGTGCGTACGTGACCGTGAGTGTGCGTACGTGACCGTGGAAAGTCGTGCGTACTAACCGGTGATGGTGCGTACGTGTCGTGAGCGGCGTACGGTGACCGTGAGTGTGCGTACGTGACCGTCGAGTGTCGCGTACGTGACCGTGAGCGTGCGTACGTGACCAGTGAGTATGCGTACGTGCACCGCGAGTGCGAGAACTCGCTCGGTCAAGATTGCGCGCGATCTGTGCACACACGGAAGCGTGCGTGAGTCGGCAAGCACAGATCAGCTTAGAACGATGAAAGGACTTACCACCAGTTTTATCTTCATCCCCACGGGCGCTTCCAGCACCCAGCGGCAGTCGGCATCGTGTGGGTAAGGGTTCGGGTAGTTGGGGGATCGCAACCGGCCTCTCATTCCCTTCTGATAATACTTGCATTTCGACTCTGATCCTGTGGGGAAGTATTATAATCAATCTGATTTTAGCGTAAGATGCGATGCTTCCATAGAAATAATATACTAGTTAGACTATATATCGTACTGTATAGTACTTAGTGTCTCTATATATTTATATGGGTGCATCTTCGTAGTGAAAAAATAAATACCATTTTGTTATCGAAAATCACCACGAACTCGTTGTCATGGGAACCGTGAGCTGACAGGCCTATATATCTCGTAATTACTAATTATAACTCAAATACTTAATAAATTCTTAAAAAATTAACATACATATAAAAAATATCTAAATATAAAAACCAAATATTAATTAATATTATTACGATTATAAATAAAATAATTTCGTGATGTAGGCTCGTGGTACAACCAGAGCATATAAATCAATATAATGATTTATATGCTCTAGTACAACCATAAAATAAATTAATAAACCGTGTGTAAACCGTGGCGGGTACTAGCGCGTGATGTCGCACGCACACCCAGTATGTCGTAAACCTCTAATGGAATTTACGACAACGAGTATTCGTGAATCACAGTTACTGGCGTTTTTATTAACAATTACTGTTGCTGGTATGTGTGCCCTGGGGGCCATGCGCAGAGTTCAAACTATCTTACAACGTTCAGAAGATAAGTTCAAAGTAATTTCATTGGGTTGAAATGTAATTACATCGATACCATGTTGATCATCACTGTGTGATTATCATGATATCATGAGATTCTAATGTATTGTGCGT